CGGAGGCGCTGAGCGTGGCTGCGCGCCGCCGGGACGGAGGCCTGGAGGTGCTGCGCCGTGCCGTGCCGTTTAAACGCAGGAAGGGTGGTTTTGCAATCTGCGTTTTCTTACAATTCCCCGTTAATATTTACTAGGTGCCCTTGTTTAGAGCCACGTTACGCTTCATCTCGCATCCTAAAGAAGGAGCATTCTGTGTCTGAAATTGGATACGAGATCTGACACGTTACCACATGAAGGGTGGTTTTGCAATCTGCGTTTTCTTACAATTCCCCGTTAATATTTACTAGGTGCCCTTGTTTAGAGCCACGTTACGCTTCATCTCGCATCCTAAAGAAGGAGCATTCTGTGTCTGAAATTGGATACGAGATCTGACACGTTACCATCCCAAGGTACGGCTTTACTCGTTCCGAGTGCCGCCTTCTGTACTACGTTACTCCCGGTTTTACACACAAAAGACCAAAAGAAAAAGAAAATGGAACTCCCTCAGTCTTCTGCAGTGGGGTTTGGACTTCATTCTGGGACTGCAGAGTTTCGGCACTGGAAACAGGTGCATGTATGTCTCTGCCCATCTCTGCCCCTGCGGCTGTACCTACAGCTGTCTGTACCTAGGCAGACGTACGTGTGTGTTCGTATTTAGACACACACAGATACGCCCATACATCTTTCTAAATACATAAATAAATGTGAGGACTTTTAATGTTTTCTGGGAGATAAGGCAATGCACCCTTGGCAGGGACCCGTGATAGATTGTGGTTCCCAGGCAGGACGGGGATGTAAACGTGTCTGGTGTTCCACGTGCGTGAGTAAAGCGCAAAGTCTTGCATTCTGTTCCCAGTGCTTCTCTTGTAGCCTTGGACAAGCCAACTCACTGCTCTGTTCATGGCATTGGAAAGCTTGATTAATTAATGCTTATAAAGTACAGAGATCTTCAGATGAAAGGTACTATAAAAATCCAAGCTATTATTACATACTTTGTGTGTGTACCTAGTAGCTATGGAGTCTGTAATAACGTAACACTTACCTAACTTTGGTTGTACTTTGCTTAACCTGCTGGCACAAGTTGTTAATGAGATATTAACAGATATGACATTAAAACAACACTGTGTTTTGGAACATAAACAAAAGCTTTTTTTTTTTTTAATTGCTCACCTACATGAAAGTTGAAATGTCTTGTAACCTTTATTTGTCATCACTAAAATGTCCAAGGCATGTTTTAACAGAAACAGAAAAGCTCTATTTTCTTGACTTTTTTAACAAGTGCTTTTAACCTACTTAGATTCTGGAATCAGACACTTCAGGGCATTTTGAACCGTCTCCATCGTAATTGAGATGGAAGAGCTGTAAAAGCAGTAGTAGAAGCAAATGTGATGATTTTTTGTTTTTTCAAAGGAGAACCACTGAGACTGTGTAGTATGAACAATAACCAACATGATCTGGTATTGAACTGGTTTATAATGCATCGTCATTGGCTGATCAGAGCGTAAAAATTTCCTTTTTGTTAGGTGGGTATAAATCTGGATTAATCCCAGAAAAGTGAACATGCTCATTCCATGGCAGTGCTCACTATTTAGACCACTAAAAGGCCGAAATATGGCCAATCATGTTGTAAAGAGCTGTATTCAGCTTGAAGGTAGTACTTTATACCAGATCGTTATGTCACGAAACTGTACGTACTCTACATAATTCTCAAACTAGACTAAAAGTAATTGTGTTTAAATCCTTGTCTCGTGTTTCAAAAATACAGTGCAAAGGTTGCCTTCAGTATTAACCCACTTCCCCCCAAAACCCTTCTGTTTAATCGTCCATTTGACTCTGCGGTTTGATATCAGTTGCTTTTCACTGTAAGCATTTTAATGTAGTGTTCCCACCTTGTATACCAATGGAGCTAATGCTGCCCTGACTATGTACTGAAAACTCACACTGGAAGCAGTTGGACTTTGAGTCAAAAAAAGCAG